CCTTTTTTTACTATCCTCTTTAACGTCTTGATTTTTTTCATCTGGCTTAACCTTCACATCAACATTTTCATCGTTGTCGATAAGTTCTTCGCATCCACTTATGTTTAAAACGCTGTCTTCCACGTCGCTTTCTGGTTTAGTCCAAGGCACTCCTAATTCATCTGGTTCGAATGTTATTAACGTACAAAATCCATCTGTGGATGATGCAATAAGCAACAATCCGTCTTGGGACCATGTCAGATCTGTTAATCTCGTGTAGTGTATATCTTGGAACCTAGCAAAGGGTATGCTTTGTTGAGTATCGTATAGGAATATGTCGTGGTCGGTGCCAACAGCAAAGATCATGCGATATGGCAATTTGGTGTATGGGTCGGCAGCTTCTTCGTGCAACTCATATAAAACTGGACAGCATCTTACTACAGTGCTACTCTGACCACCCAAAGGCAATATGGCAACAGGGCTGTAAGTAATAAAAATTAGTGATTGATGTGAAAAAAAGTTTTATATAAATGGTTTATAAACAACGTATGTCATAAATATATTTTGTTGTATACAGGGTGTCCCAAAAAACTAATGAAATAGTTGTAAAGTTTGGGGTATTGATAAAATTAAATTTACTCCAGCTTTTATCCACTTTTTAGATATATTGTTTTTAACCAAAGTTTCAGGAAATGAGAAATAGCATGGCAACACCGCATTGTACTTCAAAAAAGATAGTGTACTACAGTATGTCCCCAGATTGTCTTAACAAGAGGAAAAACTTTTTTATTATTGACATTTTGAGAAAAATACATTCTTCATAAAAAGTTTTGCTCGTTCTCAAATGGTTAATCCCTGTTAAACTTTTCCAAATATCCATACCGTTTTGTATATATAACTATTATAACCCTTTTTGTAACATTGAACAAAAATAATTCTGTGCTTCTTTAACATCATAATAGCAGAAAATATGATGTTAATTAATATTCTTTCTATCAATAGAAAGAACATGAAATTATATTACCATAGAAACGCTGTTTGATTTTTAGGACTTCAACAAACATCAACCACATTTTCATGTTTTTTTTTAATTTTTTCTAAAACGGTTTGCAAATTTAGAGAAGAATGGTATAAAAACAATTTGAGAACAAGCAGAATTTTTTATTTTATTTTATTTTTTTATTTTTAGTTTAATTTAAAAATTAAAATAAAAATATATTTTAATTTTTTTTGTTCATTTTTATTTTAATTTTTTTATTTTTAACATTTTTTATGGATTAACCATTTGAGAACAAGCAGAAATTTTTATTTTAATTTTTTTTTATTTTTATTTTTATTTTAATTTTTTTTGTTCATTTTATTTTTAGTTTATTTTTTTTATTTTAATTTTTTTTTCATTTTTATTTTAATTATTTTTATTATTATTTTATTTTTTTTTTATTTTTATTTAATTTTTTTTATTTTTATTTTAATTTTTTTATACTTTTATAAAATGCATAAAAGTTCCTATTTCTTATTTTTTCTCCAATCTATTTTGTAAAATGTAGAAGCAATATTAGCACACTTTTTTAAAACATTCTCATAGATATAATGAGCAATTAAAATACTTTTTTATCACTAAAATTATAATTTTTTTTTAATAAAATACTGTAATTTATTGATTACTGGATTTTAAATGTGAAAATTTCTAATTGGAAAATTTAACATTGAGCTTGTTCAGCACACTGGGTCTTTATTATTCTTATTTAAATTTAATTAGAACATTAAAAAAAATACTTACGAAGACAAGTCACTTAAAATAAAGATCAGAGTAGCATTTATAACTTTTTTACAGTCATCTACTTCAATATGTCCTGAAGGCACAATCAACAATGATCCATCTGGAGTGAACTGTAACCTTCTAAAGAACGACTTAAAGGTGTCATCATGAAAATATTTCACTTCTTTGTCTTTTAAGGAGTGGTTGTCTGGAACTAATTTACAATAATTAAATTACAATGGTTAATTTGTTAAGGGTGTTTTTGATATTTTTTTAAAGCAGTCAAATAAACCAAATGGGTGAAGACTAGAATTAAGAAGGTAATTTTACATATTTTACAGCCATTTTGCATAGTACTGTTTATAAAATATTTATGTATTACATAAACTTACGTAAATTTAATTTTCCTTTGCAGATCCTTGCTTTGACTTGCTTTCCCAATGAATCAAATATTCTACATACTCTATCAGTACTAAGAGTAGCTATAATTTGATTTTTTGGATCCCATGCAACACCCTAATATATGAAACATTATTATATTCTTTTATTTTTGGATGCTGTCTGTAGTAATAATAGGTATATTAAACAGGTAATTTACTTACTTGCACAAAACCTTTATGATCGGACAATATATGATCTAGTTTTCCTTTATTTATATCCCAAATAATGGCAGTATTATCCACACTACCAGAAATTAATTTAGACTCATCAATAGACCAGCTGAGATCATAAACATCTTCCTTGTGTCCTCTTAATACTTTATTTACTATCCATATTTCTTTATCTCCTGTGTCACCTACATAAAATACGATGAATATCAAGTAAATTACAATTCAAACATAAGAATTAAATACCTTCTAACAGAGGAATATTATCAACCTTTAACTGCCAAATAATTATATTTGCATCATCATCTCCAGAAGCCAAGTAGTGACCAGAATGTGACCATCGGACGCAGTTTACAGCTCTTTGATGTCTCGTGAGATCTGATATAACTTCTTGATTTACAGCTCCTGTTTCTGTAATATTTAGTTGCCATATCTAAAAAAAAATCGCTAAGTATTTATTTTACTCTTGTTGATTTATTAAACCGAGATACATTATGAATGTGAATTAGTTACATAATATAAAGAACAAAGAAGTAATTCTAATATCTAAAAAAATTGCTGAAAATTTAATAAATTTAACTTACAAGAACATGACAATCGCCACCGCCGGATGCTAACCTATAAAAACTCTTATTTTCTGGATAAATATCTACACTAAGGACTGGTTCTCTGTTATGCCACGATATTTCTGGTATTGTACATTTCATTTTCAAAAATACCGATAATAAACTTAATATATAACACGAAAAGAACAAGTAACTTTTATGTTTTATTTTTCTAAAGTTTTGCCGCCAAACTATTGACGTCTGTCAAATATGTGAAAACAAAAATTTGAATTTTCATTGGTTAAAATCTGTGGTTAAAATGGCAAACCAGAGTGATAAAAAATTTAAATCTACCTCAAAAATTATTATGCAACTAATAAAACACCTAAAAGTATAAGAAAAATAAAGGTTTTATAAAACTCCTTCGTATTTAACTTTTAATTTTAGTGGCAGTGGAAAAATTAAGATATTAGGAGGGTTGTTCTACATAATTTAAGTATAAAAAAATCGCAATACACGCAAGACTTTGTATAATAATTCCGTTTAATAGAAAAATTAAAAAGTTATTAGTATATTTATAACAAAGGTGATGTTACAGTTTTAGTGGACAATAAAAAGTTCGCGTCATAAATATTTAAATTACCAATTGTGATTAATATAGGTATAATTAATAATTACACTTAAAAACAAGTTTAATGATTCTTGAAGTATTTTTGTTTCTCTACTGGGTCAGGTATAATCTAAAAA